GGAACCATCTCCTTCTGAGGAGGATGGAAGGAAGAAAGGACAGACAGAAAAAGATGAAGGCTGACATCATGCCAACAGCTAAACATGGCTGAGAAGCAACATGTGGAAAGTAACACTTGTCTCCTCTGGTTGGGAGGGGTCAGTAAAAGATCAACAGCCTGGAGTTCTCACCAAGAGCAAGAAAGGAGAGCGCGAGAGAGCAAAGACAGAAAGGAGCAAACGTGAGCACAGATGAAGCAGAGAGCATAGAAAGCATGCAGGAGCATGTGCGCAGAGAGATAGCATGAAAGACAGCAAAAGGCACACAGAAAAAGAGCGAAGAGGAAAAACTTCATTGCACCGAGTTTCCAAACCAATCAACAATTTTCCAGGAGGGTTAGGAAGATACAATGATTTCTGCATCATTTAAGGGAAAATTGAATAAATGACTGAAACGTAGAGTAAGATCCCGGTCTATAGAGAGAGTGAGGAGGGCAGTAAAATGGGTTTTATATTCCGTTGGCAGAGACTATTTCAGGCCTGCATACTGCTCACGCCGCCACCACGATTTAAATAGTCACTCACTTTCCAAGTGAGGGAAAGCATGTCAACCCCATGGCCAGTGCGCTGCAGGCAACATTAATAAAAGCAGAGTGGTGTCTTCCAACCCTCAGTGGGCTACTGACCCATATGACAGGCCAGCAGCTCTTGGAGTCTCAGCAGCGCCACTGTGTAGGATTGGACAGGGCTGGAACTGTACTAAATGTCAGGGCGAAAGGTTCAGTGGACTCATGCAAGTCAGGGACATTAATACAGAGGATTTAAATCTCTTCGGGAGGAGGCTGGATTACTCCTGAAGCACAAACAGCACCCCAAAAACAAGCTGCAGACTTCCAACTGCCTGTCCACATAATTTGAAAGTCATTGGTATAATATTGATGTCAATTGAGCTTTTAACAAGTTCTGCATATTTCAGGGATGGGTGGAGAATGATGGTCAGCCCCCTGACCTACTTTACACACTGACTCTGTCACCCCCATCAAAACATGCCCAGCCAGTGACCATAAAATCAATCCCACGATGCACAAAGCATGTCTCCTTGGCAATAAAGAAACAGAACTGGATTTGGAAATAAACAATGAGAAAACAGGAAGTATAGCAAACAACAGAATCTGTATTTACAGTCATAACAAAAACATTAAATGGTTAAAATAAAACATTTTTTAAAATTCAACCCAAAATGCATGGTGACTGAATCCAAAAAGGACAGGGATATACATGCTCAGACTGTCTTGGTAGGACATGTTACAAATATCAAAATAGATGCGGTGAGGTTTCAGCTTGTTGTGCTGAGGGAAAGCACTTAGATAAACTGGACAGGGAAAAGCAATGGGTTAAGGGTGAGAAAGGGGGACAATTGGATTCCAGATTGGTATCCCCTTCCCAAAACAAGGTTAAATAAGTAATTATCCTGGAATTCTTATCGGACGTAGATAACAGTCAAGTGGCGGTCACCAAGAATGGCCAAATAACTTGTCAACACTCGCCATCTCGACTTACGCAGATGGCCAGTAGGAAGAAAGAGATACCAGGGAAACCACTCTCCCTTTCATCAGGGAAGGGACAGTGCTGGAAAACACAAGCAATTTATTCTTCACTGTACAACAAAAGGGTAGTGCAGACATGAATTCTTCACCTGACCAAATGAAGCCATTATGCAAATAAAAATTACATTCTGCAATTAAAATACCCAATGCATAGAAAACAGATTCTTTCACCACCTTCCCTTTAGGTTAAAGGGCCCACTGGCGACAATTTGCTGACTTGATTTTCTCTTCTACCGCCCCCTGCTTCCCTCTTTAACCCCACTGCCTTCCATCTGTTCCACAATTACCAGAAAAACTGTTTCCTATCATTACAAAAACACAATTCTTCCACAATGAATGTGAAACAGCCATCTGTGAACATCTAGGCCTTGCAGGCCAAGCTTTGGGGGAGGAATTGTAAAACCAAATACTGATTTATATTCATACTACCCACATACTCTTGGTTTCGTGTGTGAACTGCAGATGACAGGCAATTATTCCATTCATTAACCTCATCAAAGGCTTTCATTTCCTCTTGTACTTACTTGTTTATGCATCTCAAGATTGAGGCCATATGACATTTCATAGTACTGAAATAAAACAAAACCACATATTAGCAAAGCTACAAACATTCAAAGTGAAAGCCACAGAAACTGGTTTCAACGCAACACTAGGGGGGTAATCTATAAATCTTCAAATGGAAAGATTTTAACCACTGGTCAACCCATTTAATTTAGGAAATATGACACGAGTTCATCAACGTTTTCGATTTACTCAAAAATTTACATAAATCAGCAGTTTATATGCAACCGAGATATGAATGTAAATATCGCCATCAGATTAGGGAATCTGCTTTCAGAACTAAGTCACTCTGGGGTCCAGTTTCCATGATCCACCCAGCTCTTCCAAATATTGGATTTACAGTCATTAGTCACCAAAAGGTTTGAACAGAAGAATATAAACAGCAGTAAGCTATTCGGCCCCTCAAGTCTGCCTTGTCACTCAACAAGGTCATGGCTGATCTACCGAAGGCCTAAACTGCACTTTTATACCAGCTCTTCCTAGCCACCAATCCCGGAGGCTTCAAAAATATATCTACTTCCTCTTTAAATATTTTCAGTGATCTCACCTCCACAATTCTCTGGGGTGAGAATTCCTGAAATTCACTAGCCTCTGGGAGAAGAAATTCCTTCACATCTCAGTAATAAGTGAGTGCTCCCTTACTTTGTAAGTATGTCCCATAGCTCGAGACATTCCCATTTAGTGAAACATCTGCTCAACATCTACTTGTCATACCCCTTAGAATCTAATATACAGTCATTCAGCACAGAAACAGACCCTTCACTCTAACTAGTCCATGCCAAACAGAATCCCAAACTAGTCCCACCTGCCTGCTCCTGGCCCATATTCTTCCAAACCTTTCCTATTCATGTACTCATCTAAATGTCTTTTAAATATTGTAACTGTGCCCACATCCACCACTTCCTCAAAGTTCATTCCACACATGAACCAACCTCTCTGTAATGCTTCAATAAACACCAATGCATAAAGGTCTAACCTGTTTAGACATTTTTGCTACTGGTTTGAGATTTTCTCTTGTACTCAAAACGTCCATCTTCAAAATCCCACCCTTACAGTTATTATTAATAAACAACTACCAGGACTCAAGACCTATCTCCCATCCCACTACAGCTTTTGCTACCCCAATGGGGAGTAAGAAACTAAAAGGGATCAAGCCACAAGCTTCTCATACACCAAGTCAACACGACCTGACAAGCTATCTCAAAAGCACAATCCATAAACATTAGTTTTATAACAAGCAATTACAGAACAAAAAAAGGTGGAGCCAGATGCATTCTAACAACGTTATTCAAAAGTAGGCAATCAGAAAAATAGGGGTATGCGGGAGGGCATGTATATTAAAATGCAAAGTGGGAACTGGATTAGGCCACTTGCTTTCTCCCCGTACCTTTTGATGCCTTTACAAAAAACAAAAAATCTCGAGTATATTCAGTGACTTGGCCTCCACATGCTTCTGTGGTAAATAATTCCACAGGTTCGCTACACTTTGAGCAAATACATTTTTCCTCATCTCAGCCCTAAAGTCCTCCACACAATTATTTAAAATGTTTCAACACCCGAGACCAAATTGCTGCAAACTCACTTCTAAACAAAGTCCAGGGCCACATTTTAAAAGGTCTTTTTTTTTGAAAAACCTAGAGAAAAGCTTTTGAAATTTCAGGTTTCTTCCTTTCAGAATACTCTTAATGAGCCCTGGATCCTCATATCCCAAGGGTGCAGCCACTTTCCTTGAGAACTAAATCAAAATAAAAGCCAAGTCCAGGAAACAGATTATTTCAGTTCATAGCTCCATCCAGTGTCCCCAAGAGATCCTCCTTAGGCATCAGGATTTCCTTTAAAGCTCAGTAGTTGGACAGGCATATTACACACCAGGGGAACAACTTTCCACAATATAGTTATTACTTTTTCAGAAAAACCATTGTTGCAACACCGATGCAGAGTGATATTCATTCTGTCACAATTGCTTCATTCCTACCTACTATGGAATTTATCAGGCTTAATCATTTGATATCTTGAATCTTCATCACCAACGTATGTTATTACTTGGAAACTAGGGTTCTAAAATGGGTGGAAGATGGTCTTTAGCTTTAAGTCAGTTTTGTATTTCTATATTTTGTGTGGTAGAAGGAAACAACATGGTTTAGGTTTCATTTGAGTTCTGCTAGTGGTTTTAGGGTTGTCTGACATTTGTTTGCATGCATCTAAAAGGAGGTCTTTAAAACTTTTGAGGTGAATAGTTCAGTGCATTAGTAAGAAGGCT